GTGTCCTATCATATTTGCATCTAGGTTTTCTATATTTACATTAGATAAAAAGGAAAGAAAGAGGGAAAACAGCTGAAATGCCGAGTGACAGTTTCAACATTGGCAGCCTTTGCACTAAATTATGGCGTCATGCAATGGTCATTTGACTCCGATTCACAAATAAGACTGACATGTTTTCACATAACATGAATTCCCAGAGAAGCAAAAATAAGTAACGGGGTGACTTCATGGACAGCCCTCTGTCGAGAAACAAATTATTTCTTAGTTTCTGTAATAGTACTGAAATAAAATCATCGGTTAATGATGAGTGTGTGGTTTGTTTTCCATGGTACTTTGAAGTGTCGTGTCTTTCACATTTATGTATCGCAATATTTACATTAAAGTCTACGGCCAACAGTAATTTTAATTGCAGTGAAAAATAGCCAGAAATTCCCGTCGAAAGTCACGATTTGCCACCCCGTATATCAAGGGGTTAATAACTGCTGAAGTAAACGCCAACACTGTGTACAACTCAGGCGCGAAATCGGGCAACTTCACGGTTGATGAATGGGCTAAAAGGCCAATGATTATGACAGGGATCCAACACACAAAGAAACCAAGGACTACCAAAAACAGTAGCTTTGTCACACGTAATTCCCACGCGTTCATCGCAACTTGTCTCCGCTGTCCTGCGCGAAGCGATGGCCCAACGTTAGCATTATGCTGCCGTACCGTCCTGAAAACGTTCGCATAGCAATAGACAATAATTATTAGCGGAATAAATACGTGGATTAAATGTAGTGAGATACCAATCGCTCTCTCGTGCTTCTTGCTGGAAAAAGTTCNTACCGTCCTGAAAACGTTCGCATAGCAATAGACAATAATTATTAGCGGAATAAATACGTGGATTAAATGTAGTGAGATACCAATCGCTCTCTCGTGCTTCTTGCTGGAAAAAGTTCCAATGCAGAAAAAGAATCGTGGGTCGTACTCGTATATTACTGGTCCAACGAAAGTCGATAAGAAACCGTCAAAAATTGTTAACACCCACACCGCTAATATCATGAAGACACTTGACTTTATCGTGAAGTAGTTGGGATATATGTGCGCTTTTACCATGCGAAAATACCGGTTGACTGCGGTTAAAGCAAGCGTTGGACCAGAAATTCCGCCCCAGTAGTAGATAAGAAAGCCGTTGAATTGGCACAAGTCATAACCGTGAATCCAGCCATCTTCAAGAAAGGCCTGAATGCAGAACGGAAAGCAACAGATCGCTACCATGAGGTCTGAGACAGCAAGCGCTAAAACATACAAGTATGGAACGGTCAGATTCTTTCGCTTTCTGTAGACCGCCCAGCAAACGAAGATGTTCCCGCAAACTGCGAGCACGTTCATTAGCACCAAAATGCTTCCTTGGATGGACTTATGAGCTGTGCTTCTTGAATACGCGTCCATGCTTAAAAGTTTTTATCATACGAGATAGAAATCTGTTATATACTCCGCTGAAGTTCCTTTCTGCTTGATTTACTAAGAAACAAACGGTTTACTTCCAGCTTTTTCTTCCTTTGACCGTGAGCCGTTGAATTAAAGGACAGTGGCTTTGAAGTAATCCTTCTTCCATCGTGCGTTAACACTTTGAATGCGTTTCGGAAACTGCTCAGGATGTCATTTCAACTGAAAACGATTCCAAGTTGTCGTCCTCTTACTGTGTCGCCTTATATTTGTTTGGCAAGCTTTCACAGATGAATTATAGAGTTTTCTTTAGTTTAGAGGAAGCTGCCAAAGTTAAGGCAAGTTAATCTTACATCCTGTGGTACTGTCAACAGTAGCCAATTGCGAGTAGCCAATTGGGCCATTTGAGTGATATCCTCAAGTCGCCCTTTGCCTACTTTTAAATTGTTTTTAATCTTAATCTAGCAATAAAGAGCTAGCAATTGAAGAAATTGTTTTTTTGAAAGATTGTGAATTACATGTATGACATTGATCAAGGGAGCAATCTTAGTAGAAATTACTAGTCCCTTAATAACGAAAAAATGCTCTGAAAATGTTCAATTAAGATGGAAATATATTTTTGGTTGAAGTCTACATACACTGTTCAGACCTACCTAATGGAGCAAATAATTGCTTTTTCACAGCCTCTGTCGGTTGGTTATTCAGGGGTACGTTTTTCTTAGAATGTTTGTCATTATATGTTTTACATAGGTAAATAAAAGATGAAATTGTGAGAAAGGTTTACCCTGAATGTGTGCACCTGACATGTCCGCTTGTATTGAACGAAAAAAATTGAACTGCAATCCCAAGCAGGAAATACTCTAAAGTACATTGTTTCTCATAAATGCTTGCATGCGAAGTTTCAAAGCGTGACAAATTAAAATCAATACAAAAAAGTTACCTGTTTCTAATTTAGTTCCTTTT